TGGCTAACAATGTTTAAAAACAGCTAACTTAAAATGCAAACATTTAAATTGTGAAATTTAACTATTGAGAGGCCGCATCAGTTCTATGGAAACACCCAGGGCATGAAAATAATTTTTTCCTCAAATTCTTCTTAGAATACATCATACTACTACTCTACTGGATTTAGGAAAAAGAACTCAAGAGATTTTAAGCAATTAAGATTTTACATTTCTTGAATGAATCTTGAGAGCATGATGCTAAGTGAAAGAAACCTATCAAAAAAGGCCAGCTACTGTAGGATTCCATTCACTTCAAATATTCAGAGTAAGAAAATCTATATGGGAAGAAAGTAATTCTTTACTGCCAAGAAGCTGAGCACAGGGAAGGGTGGTAAATGACTGCTAATGAATATTAGGCCTTTCTTGGGTAAAGGAACTTTCTAAAACCAGTTAAGATAGTTGCAAACTCAGTGAACAGTATTTTTTAAATTGAGGAATTATGCTCTGTCTAAATTATAATCTCAGTGCAATTGTTAACAAACAGTTAACATGCCCAGTAATATTCACGTTGGAATTGCTCTGAAATGTACAAGAAAATCAAATTGAACTCAGATAGCTTCTACTTATCTGTGAAGCACATAAACCCTTAAAACCTCAACTGCCATTTGTAGAACGCTTTCTCAGAGCAACATCTGATCTTCCTAGCACCACCACTCTTATACATCTTCCCTTCCAGAACATCGACTGTGAGGACAGGGACTATGTGCCTCTTGCATAGTGTTATGATCTGAGCACCTAGCACAGAACCACCAATAAACAGCTATGATGAGAACTGATGTGTAAGTGTACACTTGAGATATAAATGCATGAATGGGATTACTGGATTGGAGCATCTCAGCTAATCAAAAAGTTGTGTTCTAATTAAACTGCATTCTAATTAAATCTATTCTCCAATTTCTCATAAGTTCCTGGCCATCCACATTTCCCAGCAGCCTTCAAAGCTTACTAGAGTCATGCAACCACAGTGTCACCAAGTAAGTCACAAGAAATATGATATATATAATTTAAAAGAAAATGACTTGGTTCAGACTTCTCCATGGCATAGTAACAATCCGGCTTCACCCAAACAGATGACAGAGTCCCAAGGGTAGTGAACACAAGTGCAAAGAAGCCGTTCAGCCAAACAAGACTGGCCTGACTGCTCTATGAGCAAAGTAAATTGCTACTTTATTGAAGCTATTGCATGTTGGCGCCTCCTGTTACATCAGCCCAGTGTCCATCCCAATTGTAGCTCAGGTGAGTGTGCTGTATGTTTTGCAGATGAGAGCATCTGAACGCCTAAATGAGTCAGCTGACTGGCCCCTTCTGCCAGAATGGTAACCTGACAACTCCATGAAGACTGTCTCACAAAGTGTCTTCAAGCAACTTCATGAAATAACAGATAATTCAAATACTGAAGGCTATTAAAGAAAATCACTTTAAATGAGCTTAACTTAAAATTGCTACTGTTGTTAAGTAAACAGTTAATTCACACAAATATATACTTTTAAAAGAAGTATTATATCTCAAACACCCCTGAATATTTGTTTTATTTTTCAATCAAGAAGTAATATGTCATATGTAGTCCATAATGAATGAAATAATAATGTATATCATAGTACCTTCCCATACGTGTAAAGCAGCTCTGAGAAGAAAAATGGCAGTAAGTACACAGCCTTTTAAGTTGCTTAGCTTGGCCTGGTGACATAGCTCAGCAGACAAACACCTGCTTAGGAAAGTGCAGGAACCTGGGTTCTATCTCTGGCACCACATGCAGCGCCAGCCCCCCCACCCCCCCAGTGCACAGAGCGGGCCACTGAGACCAGGCATGGTGGTGCATGCCGGTAATCCTAGTGATGGAAACAGGAGGATCACTACGAGTTTGAGCTGTTTAGAGAGACCCTGTACCAAATGCATACATACACACATACATACATTCATACATACATAGTTTAGCTCCCTAACATTTAGAAAAAAAATTATGTAAAATGTGAAGATTCAACTTAAGATGCCTAATGTTTAAAAACAACATTTACTTATAATTATATAACTTCATCTCTCAATGCCATTCAGAACTTGATATAAAATGCTAAATTATACAAATTGGGTTTGAATTTTAAACAAACAGGTGGGGGTGAACTGTCAGTGGTGAAATGGTGAGGGGAAACGGGGAGACAGTGCCACACAAAACTTGATGCAATCATCAAGCCCAGCAGCCAGAAGAGTCAGGCCAATGTACTCACCACCAGAACAAGCTCTCTTTTTAGTGTCTATCTTGACAGTCTCGATGACCTTAAATAAGCCACAACTTTCTCAGTCTGTAAAGCAGGACTTCTAATAATTGGCAGCTACCTTTCTGGAATGCCAGCAACCAGGCCCATTTTGTAAAGTGCTCTGATTTACTTGGAAGAAAATTGTTATATCACTATCAACACTATCAACTATGATGACTGTTATTTATGATTTTTCAAGACCTTGAATCTAAATTTTAAAAATAGCTTTCTGCATTTGCCTGTTCACTATAAGGCATATAACCAGTTTTTCCCATGGTGTTTATTTGGCATATTTATTTGCATCTATGCTGACCACTAATGGCTCCCCTAATGCGAATCTGGGGCCATGGTATTTACTGTGAAGTGCTCAGCCTCTAACACCTAACCATCTTTCTTGTAGTGTAAAAGATGGCCTGCTTTTTGTGCACCACTGGTTTAAGGTATGGCAGGAAGAAATACCAAACACCATGTTCATTTAATACATCTGTTATCATTTTATATTTCTGAGACTTTTTTTCTCCTGTATACAAGAGACAGGACATATAAGGACTAGAGGAGTTGGCTTTGAATGATTTTTGAGTCTGTTCAAAGGTTAAAACTACGTAAAGTGTTTTCTTATTTAGATCTATACACCATAACCTTTTTTCACAACCTTGGACTCTTGGTCAAAACATAGATAGGATGAACCATGAAAAAAAATTAAGAAACAAAATTTTTACCAGTAGTTAAAAAAATTAAAGACTATGTATAAAGAATAAAAGCAATGAAAAAAAAAAAAACGTAGAAGTTGGGAAGAACTGCCTTGCTCTTGCTTTTATTCTGAGGCCCTTAACAGTCAAGTCAAAGAGAAAAACTATATGGGGTTTTCGTTCAACTGTGTGTCATGAAAGGAGGTATCGGAACAAAAAAATTTTAGAATCCAGAAGGCTTATGGGAGAAAGGATTATTTACAGGATAGTAAAGGATATGTGGATCACACACTTGATAGTGATCACAAAGAAAATGTTAAAAATAGAGTCTATCTCTCCACCAATGGTGGTAACAAATTTCTACAGGCTCCCCCCGAAAAAAAATGTTTTACTTTGATTCATGATATATTTTAAGTTTGAACAAAACCATAGAGCTGAGGGAAAAAACCACATTTTCATTTCTAGGAAATGAGTTTAAGCACTGACATTACAAAGATAACAAGTGAGAAGAAAAATAATTCAAAAATAACTGTGCTCCCAGGGGATTACAATGAAACCCTATCAATGAAATTCGTCTGTGGAGCCCTGTAAGTAAGGCTACTCTCAAACTCAACTTTTCATCTTTTCAACCATTTTTGCAACTTTATTAAATCACAATTTTTAGTTTCACCAGTAACACTGCTAAAGCATAAGATGAGTTAAACACTTGTCAGGACTTCCTGGGAAGATCATCTCGGACTACGACCACATGAAGAGACCACAGAGACCAGGAAAACCAACTGGCCCAACCAGTGGCCCCTGAAGCAGAAAATACTTACTAAACAGCTTGGCAGAAAAAGTTTACAGACTCCTAATGCAGACTAAAGTTAAAAAGCTAAAGTCACTCACGCCAAGGGAAGCACCATACCCATAGGTTTGCTATGGCTTGATGGAACCTTAGGTACTGGCTGGGATCGATCTTTTTAGGCTGAAATACCTAAAGTAGATGCCTCTACCACTTGAAAGACAATCAGGTACTTCCTACAGAGGTTTAATTTATACAGCATGGAATGAAGCAAATCTGAGTTTTTTGACCCAAATCAAATGTCCCAGAATGTAACTATGAATATATAATTTATAATACACTCTAAAACAACAGTAAAAAAAAACCTAGATGAGATTAAAAATAAAACTGGCAATTGTCACATGATAAAAGCTCTACAACTTGCTCTTTAGCAAGAAGTTTGCATCTCACCAATGCACTCAAAAATGAAATGGAGAAGCCACTACTTGAGAAATATCAAAGTTAAAATGGTCCCCAAGAGTAGTTTTCATAAGTCATCATCGACCTTATGAGATACTTTTTGAAACCAAGTAAATATGTAGCATCCATGACCATTTCAATCAAAGTGTCCTTAAGTCCCCCCAAAAAAGTAAATTAGAGAAAATTAAATTTAGCTTTAATTCATCAAGTTCATTAGTCTCTCTGAGAACTTTTAATTTTAAAATCAAGTACTCATTTGATTTTCAAGCAAGGTCAAGAGAACAGGGCCGCCTGGCGCTGGCATTACAGGGATGTGCCCCACAGTGCCTGGCAGTCGTGTCAAGGTGGCGTGTTGCTATGGTGCCTGACTATTAATTTCTGAAGGAAGGTGATTATGGAGCTGCCAGATGAACACTGACTGGAAGACACCACTTCAGCGCAGAACACTGACATGCGTTGCTCTTCTTTGCAGCAAGTTAATTTTATGAATCACCACACTTGTGAACATTCCTTTCCAACGTTAAACCTACCAAACTGACAAGCAAAAAATAAGGTTCAACTTGGATAAATAGGTAAGTTCGGTGGCATTTGGGAGGCCTGACGGTGACTACTTTTTGGAAGTGGTCTTTAAAAGACTCCTAAAAATATGTTCCTTATAGATACTTAAACACAAATAAATGCATGTACCTTTGATAAACACAGAAGAGGAAACAAATTAAAACACTGGTGGAAGGTGACAGTTCTAGACACAATTTCACTATGCACAATTGTGTTTACCTTTTTGGCTTCGGTAAATCAGTCTTCAGTTATAGTCACCTCAAAAGGTCACTTCTCAGCCTGAAAACAAGAGAACATCAAAATCTGAGTGTCAAGAGAAGGAGCCACCACCTCTGCCAGAAATTAACACAGGCAAAACAATAAAGGTTCTCTGTTGGTGAGCAGATAACTTTCAGAGTTCATAAAAATAAGCAGAGGCTCTCCATGTATCAGGACAATAGCCTTTGAGTTCCTCAAATAATCAATTTAAATAGAAAAAGTCAAGGCAAAAACACTTTAAACTTAAGGTGTAAACTTATTTTCATATTATCAATTTTTTTTTAATACAGAATAATGAAACTCACAGGCCTTTGTTTTTCGAAACCAGACTGCTACTAGAACATGTCTCTGTTTGGTCAACACCCACTACGTCTGTAATTTAATTAAAACAAAAGCTCTTCAAGAGAAGCCATTCTTATAGACATGATGCTTTATGGCACTGTGGACCTTTCGAAATGAATAAAAGCACCACAGTTTTCAGTTTGGGGAGCAGAGGGGGTGGAGCGCTGCTGGTGAAAGCTGCTCTCAGAATGTTTTTCACTTAGCATGTATCTACCAGATCCAGTAAGTTAAATAAAAATTTTTCATGTCAGTTGAAATAAACAATTGAAATCAAGCTCCCTAAAACACAAAGAAAGCATGTAACACATTTTACCCCACATCTATTCTTGCATTCATATACTCCCTTATACAAAATAGTGTATAATCCTTTAAGAAACATTACAAGCTGCCTCTTTCTGCCCATGTAACTGGGATCAACATATGGCACAAGTGAAAAGAAAAAACATTTGTTTATTAATTTAGATCAAGTTACTAACTGGGTACAGGATTCATTCCACATCCGTTGACCAAATGCTCATATAATTTTTTAAGATGATGAAAGCATATCACGATTTTACCAAAATGTTAATATCCTCTTGCTCACTCTTCAGAACAATATGTAATTAAGTGGTTTTAATTTTATATGAATATATCCATGCCTATCCCTCTGCCATCAGCCTTGAATGTGGAAAGGCAAACATCCTTAAGAAGAATAAAATCTCACTAGGGCTAAAAATTTTAAAGTGGCACTTGGGTGTGTACAGTCTTGGAGGAATTGATATGAGGCCAATTTATGACATTTCCACAAGCAAGTGTATGCAGATTCTTGCCATTAAGATTGGAAAAAGATGCAGGCTCTGAGTGAAATCATAATTTTCACGTTTACTGTAAGAGGAAATGGGAAGTTTTCACCATAAATGTTCATCATCTGGGTGGGGAAAACCCTAGCTCAGTGTCTTAAAATTACTATTTTGCAACCTGCCCAAAACCTTTTTGTTTTTACACAAAACAATTCAAATTGAAAATGAAAATCATGTGCCTTACTGCTGCTGTACGGGCCCAGGACTGGTTTCTGTAGTGGTGAGAACTCTGTTTCAGGGTAGGTAAGTGGCGCGAAGACAGGAAAGCAGCAGTGATGGTCAAGTGCCCAGGTAAAGCAGAGGCCTGCGAGGCAGCCCCATGCCCTGGCGGCACGCAGCATAAACACAGGAACTTGGGCGCCCAGTACTCGCCAAGCCTTACATGTAAAGCAGGTGAGCTCCAGCAGACCCCATTCCATTCCAAGCAAAAGGACCCTTTGCTGTCTCCTTTTCACACGAGGTGTTCTCCAGTGTGTATGCTCTAAACTAATTTATGTTTATCTATTAAGCTCTGTCTATTTTTTTCATGTTTGGCAGTCAGACCTATAGTATTTGACTTTGCAATGCAGATAAGATTCGCTATCAAGCAGGTCTGGCAAACAACTGGACCTCATTAAAATTTAATTTAAAAAAAACTGCTGAAAATGCCTACTTTCAGTAAAATTATCTCTAGTGCTGCATTTGAACCAGCAGACCATTTGCAGGCAAGGACCAGTCCTGTATCTCTGCTTACCTCCTCCACAGTACAGTAGGTAGGTGAACACAGAACAAAAATAGAAGCTAACTACTGACCCTCAGATCTCACATGTAATTTTTTCTAAGAATTAGTAAAATTATACAATTGACCCTCTAACTTCCATAGGCTACAGCAATACAAGAGTGGCTATATTTAATTTTCACTTATGCATAAAAAATTGGCAACAGGATATAAACTATATTCCACAAACTGTGACGCACATGTATGTTTGACCACTCATTAATTTATTTCTGCTGATTTTAACTTTCAGAAAAAGTATTGACTAGTACAGTAACCTAAAAGATATTTTTCTACTTTTGCTGAGAAAAGATTAATACTTCAACAGCTGTTTGCCATCATGCTAAATTAAATGAAATGTGTCAATATAATAGACAAGAAAATTAGGGGCAGAGCTGGGACCGGAGAGGGCCTGAGAGCTTAAAGGAATTGGAAAGGCGTAACTAGGAGAGAAATCTGAATTCTGTTTTTTTCCAAAAAGTAAAACTTCCGTTTCTAAAACTATATTTAATCAAATATATCAACTATTTACATGTATGCTTACTGGTAGTACAAGTACGAGAACTAAAATTAAATGATTATGTAAAGCTTTTAAATTTAAAAAGATAAAGGGTAAGAAAAAATATTCCCTTCCAACCCACTTGTCTTTTTAAAAATGCTGTCACTACACAAATTGCTTTTCGTTTTCTTCTTTCACTTTCCTACTGCTTTTAGGTTTAAAAGTGAGCCAAGGATACAGTATACAGAAATGACTTATTTTCCCCTCTGTCATTCTCTGTAACGGCTAAGATCCTGTGAACGCGAGAACTGTTCCACAGGCTTTTCGCCACAGACGGCAGCGGTGTCGTTTACCTGCAGCTACATGGTGCCCACACAGACAGACCATGCCTAGAGGCTGCGGCCCAGCTGCCACTGCTGAGACTCCCAGCTCAGTGCTCTGGCCTCCCTCTTCCTCCAGCTCCGGAGCCCCTCCCCCTAAATTGGGAAGTTAACTCTGTCGCGCCCTTATGTTGTAAACGCTTTGATGTTACACTCTGCCCCTCTTTTAATCTGCAATGCATAACAGAAAGTGCCAGCTGGCATGTCCTACCTGGAAGTGAGTCACAGGTAAGTGTGCTGTGATCTCATTTCACAAGACTGAAAAGTGAACAACATATGGTCTATTTTTCCCCATTAAATGTATTCCCCCTTTTCTGTCATGGCAGTTAACATAAATGATCCCCATCAGATTTTTCATTGTATTTCACAACACATAAGCACCCAAAAGCCACTCTGAAGGATGGACAACAGACACCTCAAGCTTCAGCCCTACAAATGCAGGTTGAAAATCCACAGGGAATGGGTTTCACGCACCAGGAACAGGAGGATAAGGGGAGCCAGCCTCTGGCCCCCTGAGAAGGGAGCCAGAGAGGATGACTCTAGCCAGAGACAGGATCCCTCTTTCTCCAAGGTCCAAGAACATAGCTCCAGTTTCCAAGACCTCCAAATCCTCCAACTGCACAGCATAGACTTCCTTTGTAAAAACAGATCCAAATGGGCCAATTTCCAAAAACAGTACTGCCTCTTTAAGTATGTAGTGAGTCTTAACTCATTTTGGCTTTCATGTCTTATTTTTTAACGATTTCTTAGAAAACAGAAGGATATCAACACATATTTGACTAGTTGAAAAAACTGTAACACAAGAATCATTTTATTTTCTGCACTTAAGAAAATCCTCTTACGTTGAAATCAATCCCCAAAGTGCCCCCCCCCCATGCTCTTATAACTTCAAATCCTGGCTTGGTTTACATAAAGAAAAAGGAAGGAATGTGGAAAAGAAAACAGCAGAGAAGGAAATGAAAAAATGGGAAGAAAAAAAGGAAAAACAGAAATTAAAACAGAATGGAGAACAAAGGTGAGGAAAGGAAACAGACAAGAAAGAAGAAACTGCAGAGCAGCCCAGGTCTCTGAAGTGACTCTGGACCCCACCCATGCGTGCTGGTTTACAAATACAGTGCTGAGTTTCTTTTGCTTGTCTCTGCCAAAGGTAAGTACACTAATTTGGGTCCAGCATTTCCCAAATCCCACTCCTGTCTCTGCACATAACACTTGCATTACATTCTCCTCACTCTCTGGGATCCTCACTAAAATATAATTCCTAGTTTTGGGGTCCATTCTAGTGAAGAAAAAACTTAACACCCCTTACACATAACCAGCCATGTGGTACAGGCAACCCCGGGGAGGCTGGCAGCCCCCCAAGAACCCCATACTGCCTGCCTCATTTGAAAAAATGACTCTTACCTTCTACAAAAGTAAAGCCCTGGTCATGGTCATGTGAAAATATTTTATAGGTATCCTTTAACAGCCTTTACATGTTGAAACCCAAAAACAATATTTGCTGTTTTGCCTTTGAAGCTCTAACAAAGCCTTTGTTTTAGATTTACCTTTAGTGTGCAATAAGAGTTAATAATCAAATCCATCCCAACCCCCACAAATGTTAAACAAAAAGATAAAAGAAATGCAAATAGCTATTGTCATGGAAAGTTAAAGTACCTGTCTGTATTTTTAAGTGAAAACTATTATCTCTATCAATCAAAATTTAAGAATACAATAGCGCTAATCACAGAAGGTGCTCTGACAGAGTTACTTTCCCTCATAAAAAAAAAACTATTTTACCTCTTAAAACGGAGTATAAAAGTCATATACTTACAATTAGATAGAGTATTTGTAATTTTATTATTAAAAACCTTCAGCAGCCTCACTGTTAATAAGTGCTTCTAAGTCTCTAAACTGATTTGTACCCAAGAAGACCCAAGTCCCCACATATTTTAATCAGGTTGATGAAATTTTATTTAAATTCTCTCAGTTTCCAACCTGCGGGGGAATAGCACACTCTTCTGTTGAAAACAGTTACTCAGACAGAAGCAAAGTCAACTGGAAACGAAAACTCCTTTTAGACCCTGGACACAATTCTTGTATCCTAAAATATCTTTATACAGGACAGAGGTTTCTTGGACGGTTTGCCTCATTCATTTTGGCAACTTGTTTTTCAAAATGATAAACACTGTAACCTCAAAAAGAAAGCAGAATGCCCCCACACAACCCAG